ATCCCGACGGCGATCACAAATATGCAATACATTCTTCTCTCCTTTTGTGCGATCGACGTCTCCAACGATCGGCAAGCTTCTTCCTTCCTCCCTTGACCACACTCAAGGCCTCTAACGAGTGGTCAGCTCTTCCCTTCTCCCCCCAGACGATAGTGATAGTGTGGTCAACCCCTCTTTCAACGGATCTCTTCGGCAAGCGGCATAGCACTTCTAGACAATACTTCTATGACTTCCAACGTGATGTCTCACATCCGGACGAAAACAAGCCACCACACTAGTGTCTCCAATTGCCCAAGAGGCAGACTAAACGTGGGCAATGATTTATTTCATATTTTCAGCATTTACTTACCAGTTTCTGTCATTTATTTACAATTTATGACAAATTCTTTCCGTTTTATGCACATTTCAATTGAAATGAGTAGAACTAATTCAAAACTTTATGAATGATCTTTGTTCTTCTTTAAAATCCTCCGAAACTCGTCTGAGATTAAGCTAAGATTGTTTCAAACTTATTTCTATTGATTTTTGCAATCAAATCTCGACCTATTCATGTTCTCAATGTTATGCAAATAACGAGTATTTTTTCTATTTTCAAATGCGAAATCACTGAGATTAAAGGTTGATTAATGAGCATTTAATAATTAAAACAAATTGAAGACATTCATGACTGGCTTCATGTCATGTGTGTGAATCTTCGAGCACACATTCGTCTGAGAAAATGGGTTGACTGTACTTCTCTCTTTCTTTATTTCTCGTCTTATTTCTCTCTCTCCCTCTCTCATGAGACTTCTTTTCTCTCTTTGTCTCTCATGAGATCTATCCCTTTCTCTCCCTCTCTCTCAATCAATCTCCATCTCTTTCTCTCCCTTTCGCGAGAGATCTCATCCCTTCTCTCTCTCATCAGAGTTTTCTCTCCTCTTCTCTCTTTCTCTCCCTTTCGCGAGAGATCTCATCCCTTCTCTTTCTCATGAAAGCTTTCTCTCCTCCTCTCTCTTTCTCTTCCTTTCACAAGAGATCTCATCCCTTCTCTCTCTCGTGAGAGCTTTCTCTCTTCCTCTCTCTTTCTCTTCCTTTCGCGAGAGATCTCATCCCTTCTCTCTCTCATGAGAGCTCTCTCCTCCTCTCTCTTTCTCTTCCTTTCACGAGAGATCTCATCCCTTCTCTCTCTCGTGAGAGTTCTCTCTTCTTTCTCTCTTTTCTTCCTTTCTTTTCTCTAGTTCTGATGCAAGACGGGGCGAGAACCCTTGTACCTGATCAATGAAACTCAAGACCTGGGATGGGACAGTTGGACTGATCCGATCAGGATGTATGGACCCTAGACTCTAGGTCTGACCACGTAACCTAAGTATAAGCAGGCGTAACAATATGCACTATCAGCCCAGGACAACCCGGGGAAACACTCGACGATGCTAAGTGTGAAGCCCTCTCGGTCCACGTCCAGACAGACAGCGGAACAGTCGTCGTGAGGTAGCCTAGGGCTGCAGCTCACGAATGGTGACGAATATGGCGCAGCGTCGGAAGTCACAATCCGGTAACTGTCCTATCCTGTCTACGTTCTCCTGATGGCGGTGGAGACGAGTCGAGAAAACCCTTCGAGAGATAATTAAACTTAAGAGGAAGGGGTACGGAGCTAACCTTCGGGGCTGCGTAGCCCAGTGGGTCGTGACGGAGCGGAGATTCGACGAAGGCAGAGACGTCTGGTGAAGAGCGATGCTCAGCGTCGACGGTCGGTCCTGGTCGAGAGTCGCAGAAGTCATCGTCGTAAGGCGTGGCACGGTCGGCACGGGCATGGGCCCGCTGTGGGCCGAAGGGCATGCTAGCGGGCGTGGGCCCGATGGTGGGCCGAAGGGCATGCTAGCGGGCGTGGGCCCGATGGTGGGCCGAAGGGCACGCTAGCGGGCGTGGGCCTGCAGGTGGGCCTAAGGGCACGCTAGCGGGCGCGCGCGGCGGCGGCGCTTCGGCGGGAATGCCAAGCGTCAGCGGCGCTTCGGCGGGAATGCCGAGCGTCAACGGTTGGGCGGAAACCCAACCGTCGCCGGAAGGATCGGCCCTCTCTGGTGGCACCGAGAAGCGGAGCAGAGGAAGGAGACGATCCGGCCGACGATACTAGGGAGGGTTGAGCTCTCCTGGTCTAAGCGGCGCCGGAAACGGCGCGACGGCGGTGGAGCCTCGGGAAACTCCGGCGAGGGCCTGTGAGGAGCTTGGACTGGTTCTGGCTCGTCGGCACGGCGGCAGGGTCTCTCCCGACGTCGGCGACAGGTAGGCGTTCGTCGGCGAACGGCCAGCGACAAGGCGGAGCGACAGATGACGGCTCCGGCGAGTTTATGGTGGAGTTCCGGAGGAAGAGGTGGCAGTCAAACCAGGAGTCGAGAGACTCCGGCGGAGTGCTCGGCGACGGCTCGTAAGGAGGCGAAGCGAGCCCCTTTCGTCACGACGGTGTGACGGGGTTCCAGCAGAGGCGGCGGCGGTTGCAGCGGCAACCGCGACCATTTCGTCCGGTGACGGCGGCGATCTCACGGGCGGCAAGGGAGATGTCCGGCGGCGGCCGTGGTCTCCGGCGGCGGCGGAACTTCTCCGGCAGCAGCGTCACGGTGAACGAAGTCCTCAAGGTATCAACGGCCTTCCTCTCCCTCCTTCCCTCCCTAACCTAGGTCACGAGGAAGATAACTCACAACAATAATTTCTCACAAAAAATATTACGGCGCTCTCTTGAGGGGGGGTCCTACCTCCCCTTATATAGGACCCATAAGTGGGCTAAGGGGAGGTGGGCCCACTTGAGGCCCTCAAGCCCATAAGCCACAAAGGCTACAAAGGGGCTTATTGGGCCTCTTAAAGAGAGACCCAATAAGCTCCCCTAAAAGGAGAAAGAGGAGGGCCCTCTTACGGTGCTTAAGTGGGCCTCAAATGAAGACCCAAATAAGCCACAAAAGAGGCCCAAAAGGAAAGACACATAGGTCCCCCCCCTTAGGGTTTTAATTGGGCCTCAAAAGAGAGACCCAATAAAAAACCCTAAAGAAAGGGAGACGCAAACAACAACACACACATATAGAATTGGGCCCGTTAACACACAAACATGAGGCCCAACAAGTCAACTTGAAAATACCAAGAAAGATAAGGGTGAGCTCGAGCTCGTCGTCGTCGTGGAGGTGGAATGTCTTCGTCCTGAAGGGCTAAGCCATGTAACGAAACCAGGCTCCTTTGTCTTCGCGCGTCGATCAGGCTGAACTCAAACTGACGGTGTCTCTTGAATTGATGGAGACAAGTCCCACTCACCATCAAGTTCCCTTCTTTTATTCTTCTCACCTCACCCTTCTATTTTATTATTTCTGTTCAATATTAATAAAATATTAAAATCACTTTATATATAAATTAAATAGTTTTCACAACAGATTAATCAATCTCCCTATATTTGACCTGAGACTTACTTCTATACTAGTATTTTATTAAGTCTTAGTTATAAATATTATTAGATAGTGTGCATTTAAACAGAACGATAAGTGCACACTATCCTCCTCCTCTCTGTTGTGCCGCTCATCTCCAGCGTGCCGCTCTCCTCCTCACCGGCCTCTTCCCTCCTCAGGCAGCTCTTTAGTGTCGCCGCTCTTCCCTCTTCCGACGTCGTCATCTCTCCTGTTGCTCTCCTTCTCCTTCCGGCATCATCATCTTTGCCGTCACTCTCCCTCTCCTTTCAGTGCCACCCTCCTCGCCGCCATCACCCCTCGCTGATGCCATTGCTCTCCTCCTCTTCTTTGAGGTCTCCACTGTCGCCGTTGTCATCGAGGCCCCTCCTTGCCGCCACGCCCTCGCTGTCGCACCATTATGGGCATCGTTGTTCTCAAGTGTCGAGGGTGTTGCCGCCACCATCAAGGTCCCTCCTCCTTGTCGCGCCCTTGCTGTCGCGCCTTTGCCGTTGCTCCCTTGCCATTGCGCACCAGCCCTCGTCGTCACTGTTGCGGGTGCCATTGCCATCCGGCCGCAACGACTAGGGTTTCACCTTTCTCTTGGCGAGCCAGCCGACAGTTTTCTTCCAGACCAGCCCACTCGGGACCGGCCCAACTGGGCCTGCTGGCCCTGCGTGGATCCGTAGGCCCAGCGCAGCCTAGTTGGCCCCAGCTGACCCCAGCCAGCTCTACCTGCTCCTATGGCTCTGCATGCCCCTCCAGACCGGCCTGTTGAGCCCCAACCTGCTCACCCCACCACCTGCCCCTCTGGCCCAGACCCGCTGACCTCATGGCATCGTCTCACCCCCCTCTGTCACATGCCTCCGAACCCTCTGAGCTTCTTCCAGCTAGTGTTCTCTCTTTTCTAGTAGTTCCTTCGGCTCGCCACTCCATCATGACACAACTTACTCAATCGGCATACATCTTCAATGGTCATAGTTATGCGTCGTGGGCATCTGACTTCGAGTTCTTCTTTAGATCTCACCTAGCCTCCTCTATCACCTCTCAGAGGGCCCACCAAGCCTTCGGGACCCCTCATATGTGACATGATCGCAGCTCAACTCGGCCGTCATCACATAGATGCTTCAAAGCATTGAGCCCAGCATTATCGAGCCACTAGCGCGCATCACCTCGGTCCGTCTCCTATGGCTCACTATGGAGATCATGTACGTCAATTAGACAAACATCAGTCAAGTTCTGGACATCATCGAGTCTCTTCTCTCTTGCAAACAAGACAATTTCTCTCTTCACGCCTACTACGATTGCCTCCAAACCCTCATCCAAGAGGTTGATATCTATCAGCCCCCTACTACTGACCTCCTAACCCTCCAACATTATCGTCAAGAGTTTTATGCTAAGGTTTATCTCAATCGACTTCATCTGTCCCTCACATCTTAGATCTGAAGGGTTGTTCTCTCTGGGGATCGCATGCCTGATCTCGCCTCCATCTTCTCAGTAGCCCTTGGGTCACCACTAGTACGCTCGTCCACTCCTCTTCCTCTTCTTCAAGCAGCACCTCTACTCTTTCGGCTCTTGTCGTTGCTACTCTATAGGCTCGAGATGATACCCCTCCTTCCTACCCTAACAGTGGTCATACTCCTTGTAGACATAGGTGCAAAACCTTTCCTCTATGTCCCTATTGTGAGAAGCAAAATCATTTGGCTACTAAATGTTGGAAGCAGTTCAATAAGCCTACTTCCGCATAGCCAACAATAACTTCTCTCGCTCCATTTCATGTTCCAACTCCTACCCTCCACATGACCTTGATGCTTGCAAAGTATGACATCCTTTGTCGCACTAATGGTATCAACACTTCCACCTTTGTTAGTCTTGCCTCGCTTTCAGGCTCCTCCATGTCAAGTATACACACTCTCCTTGCTTCTTCTTCGACGCCATGGACTATTGATTCGGGGCCTCCACCCACATGATCGATATCCCTACCATTCTCTCCTTCTATTAGTTTATCCTGACCCATCCCCCTGTTACCATTGTCGATAGCTAGACTTGTCCAATCAAAGGTCATGGTGCCACCTCGACTTCTCACTCCCTTCACCTTACCCAAGTTCTCTATGTTTCTATTTTTTCTTTTAACCTTCTTTCTATCAGTGCTATTACCTATGCCTTCCTTTGTATAATCACATTCTTTCCCTTCCATTGTACCTTCCAGGATCTGCATACCAAATAGAGGATTGATTTGGACCGTGAAAACGGGCGGGGTGTCTATGGGTCGTTTCTAACGAACCCTTATCTGGCCTTTGGGCCCTTTTTGTCGTCTCTACGACTACTTCTTCTCTTTTGTGACATTGTCATTTAGGCCATCTTTGTTTCTCTAAATTACAAAAAAAAATATTGTGGCTTTCTCTCTCTAAGTTTGTGTGCGACTCTTGTTAGTTGGGCAAACATCACCGTGCTTTTTATCCAAGTCATGATGGCATCCCCTCTTCTGCTCCTTTTGACCTTTTTCATTGCGATGTATGGGGTCCATCTCGTACTTCCTCCATCTCGAGCCATCACTATTATATTATTTTTGTTGATGACTATACTCGTGTGAGTTGAGTCTACCTCCTCTACAATCACTCTAAGGTCGTCACCGTGGTTACCTTCATTATCGAAGTTATCATGCAATACACAACTACATCCAACATTCTTCATACTGATAACACTCTTGAGTTTGTCTAAACATCTCTTTGCACCTTCTACGATGATTGTGGCATCCTCCACCATACCACATATCCTCACACTTTACAGTAAAATGGTGTTGTTGAGCACAAACATCACCAGCTTCTTGACATCACTCACACACTTCTTCTTAAAATGAATGTCCCCCACTATCTCTGGGTTGACGCCCTTCTAACTACCACTTACCTCCATAATCGACTTCCCTCCCCTCCTCTTGGGGAGGTCATTCCTCTCTATCGCTTAATTCCTAATTTTTCTCTTTTTTCTCTTCCCTCTCAGGTCTTTGGATGCACCACCTTCGTCTAGGATTCCTCTCCTTCTCTTTCTAAACTTGCCCCTCGTGCTCTTAAAAGGATCTTTGTCAGGTACTCTCGCACACAAAAAGATTATTGGGTCTACTTTCTCGATACCCGTCGCTATGTGACCTCAGCCAATATCACTTTCTATGAGGAGTCTCTTTTCTTCTCCCTTATTTTGACTCCTCTTCCTCAGGCTGCTATGTCTCCTCCACTTGGGTTCCCTCCCTTGGTGGTTCTTGCAGACCCTCACTCTTCTCTTCCTTCCTGTCCACTCTCTTTGGAGTCGTTACCCATGCCCGCCTCTCTTCAGCCCATGTTACCCATGGCTCCTCATGTTCCAGATGTAGTATCTTCGTCTTCCTCTCGTACAATCCCCTCCACGCCTTCAGTCGCTACTCCACCTAATGACTTTCATCTCTCTATTGTCCTTAGCAAAGGTACACCTGCTTGCACCCACCAACCTATCTCCAAATTTCTCTCCTATGACCGCCTTTCTCTCTCTTTTCGTGCCTTTGCCCTCTCTATGACCTCTAAGTCTCTTCCATGGTCATATGTTGAGGTTGCATAGGTACTTACATGGAAGGCGACCATGGATTTAGAGGTAGCTGCATTAGTCACTCGAGGGACTTAGGATTTGGTTCCACACTCGACCGATGCCAATATTGTGACGTGCAAGTTGGTGTTTACCATCAAGTATCACCTGAATGGCTTCATTACTCATCACAAAGCTTGTCTAGTTGCTCGGGGCTTCACGTAGGCATATGGGATCAACTACACTGAGATGTTCTCTCTTGTGGTCCACCTTAAATCTATCTACGTGCTCCTCTCTCGTCGTCAATTAGGCCTAGTCTTTGATAAGTCTTCATTATCATGAGTTAATAATTAGTAAATAATATAGTTTTAGCCTTAACTCATGATAAATAGACTTATATTTATGTTAAAATGTGAAAAATAGTTTTCAGTTGATTAACGTGAATTTTTGAGTAATTATGTGATTTTATAAAAATTAATATGATTTTTACAATCTTACTTTTAAGATAAATGAAGAAAAATAAATAAAAATAAAAATATAATAAAATGGGGGGGACCCGCCGGCTAGCTAGGCCTACAAGCGGGTCAGAAGCATAGTTGGGGAGTAGCCGCAAGTAGGGGCTCAAGCAACTTGGACCGATAGGGGCATGTGTGTGCCACTCCCCTTCCACGTCACCGATGGCTAACTGACTGTGGGGCAAGGAGTGGTCGTACACGTGAGAGAAGAGACTTGCTTTCAAAATATAATATTACTATATATTCGTTTGAAACTTCAGCGCACAAGCGATGTGGGACTAAACCCACGCCACACCTTCCCCATAAAGGGTTTGAAGATTTTAATACCTAAAAGACCCCTTATTTATAACAGAGAGATACCATGATGATGTCATTTTATAAGGGTATTAGAGTTCTTATGTCAATCTCTCTCATACAGGTGGGCAACCGGCACGGGTTCAAATCCTCACAGAGCCAAAACTCATATTTTTTAACTGATTATCGCAACTTTCCTACAGATTGCTGGTGAAGGATTAAGCAACCAAAATCACTGAATCATCGACAAAAATATCGTCAATGCAATTCACGGAGCATTGTTACTAAAATTGTTGAACGATTCGTAATAAAAGGATTACGAATTCATCGAGTAAAGCATCTCCAATTGATCGACAAACAAGCCATCATCAGGAAGGGGACGATCCATCGAGAGACGAGTCGCCACCTCTTGAGAGCATACCGGAAGTGATGAAGAGCCTCCTCTTGCTGCACGAACCTGAGGATGAAGCTCCCTAACACACACCCCACCTCCATCCAAGTCCTCTCCGTCGGGTGACAGCCGTCGGAGAGCCACAAAGTCATCGTTTTTCCTCTCCACTGGGTGATAGCCGCTGAAGATGATTCGACGACCCATTTCATTGATCTCTAGACTTCGCAATGAGATCTAGAGATTGCCCACGTCATCTTTGTCCAAGGAGAGCCTTCAAGGCCGTAGACATTGCAGGATGATCCTCCCGAACGCTCAGGATTCCAGTGCATCACTGACGCATCGCCACCGCGACGCCAGAACTCTATTTTCTTGCTTTCAACTTAATTTCCGCTTCATTTAGTGATAATTTGTTGATTTTAAATTTACTAAGATATATTTCATTCGATTACGATTCTTCCGACTTTTATAGACTTTAATTTGATCAATTAAATCATATGTAATTGCTTACGTAAGAATCGCCGAGGAGAACTCTATTTTCACCCGATTCTCGTTCGCCGTGCGCTGACGTCATCTTGACGTCTGCACCCTTATTTCCTTTTTTTGTGAATTTTAAATATATTTTCTTTTCATTTCATAGTATAAAATTCATAAAAAATAGTATTCTTTGAAGAAAATTCTGAATAATTACTAGATATTATATTACATCTTTGTGATCGACCTGGAAAATTACCGCTTTTTTTGAAAGTTTTATTGAATTATAATTAATATATTTATTCAAAAATACTTTTAAATATTTGAAATTTCTTATTTTCTAGTTTTATAAATTTTAAATTTCCATGATTTACTATACAACGACTAAGTCACGTCAGTCTCTCCACTAGTTAGATGTTTCTAACACCTTTTTCTACAGTGATCTCATAGAGCAAGTTTTCATAGAGCAACCTCTTGAGTATGTTGCTCAGGGGAAGGTGTGTCTCTTGTGACGTATCATTTATGGACTCAAGCAGACTTCACGTACCTAGTTCGCTAAGTTTAGTGATTTGCTCACCACCTTCGACTTCCCTCCTGCACTGTAAATCTTACCGTGCTCACAAAGAAGATAGAGGGCAGCTTTATCATCCTTACAGTCTATGTTGATGATATTCTTATGACTGAAAGTGATGAGGTCAGCATCTCTACTACTAAAGCTTACTTGCAGCAGCACCTCAGCATTCGTGACTTAGGGACTTCATGGTATTTCTTTAGGATTGAGTTTACAAATCACGACGGGAAGCTCACCCTCACTTAACGAAAGTATGCCCTCGGCATGCTTCAAGAGATAGGTCTCTTTAAGTGCAAGCTAGAGACTTTGCTCATGGAAGCTCACTCGCAATTTTAAGACACTTCATCTCCCTTGCTTGAAGATGCTAACCGGTATTGACGATTGTTCGACAAGTTGATATATCTCACCGTCACTTGCCTTGATATCGTGTACATAGTTAGTGTCTTGAGCCAATTCATGCAGGAGCCTTAACAAGTTCATTGGGAGGGAACTCTATGAGTCCTCGCCTATATCAAGTAATTCTCAAGAAAATAGCTCATTTATCGGTGACACAACCATCTCTACATTGTAGCCTACTCTAACATCGGGTATGCACATGACAAGGGCGACTGAAAGTCTAATACGTGTTATTGCACATACGTCAACAGTAACCTAGTTACCTAGCGGTCTCAAAAATAGAAGGTGATGTCCTACTCTAGTACGAAATTCGAGTATCAAACTGTGGTTGAGACAACACGGGAAATGATATGGCTTCGATCACTTCTCGACAATCTCGACATTAATTCTCCCTCTCCAACGCCCATGCATTGCAAAAATCAAGCTGCCATCTTCATTGCTGACAATCCCACTTTTTATGAGCATATGAAACACATTGAGATCAACTGAATACTTTATTAATTATGGAATTAAATGTTTTAATTGTAAGAATAGGTTTATTAATACTTGATCGGCCAAAAAACAAACTTATACTTAGATTCCTATCATAAATATTACAAATATTGCCATTGATACACTAGTGAAAGATGTTGGAAAGAAGTCTATCTAACAAATAACACCAAGAATTTTGATTAATATGAATTCATAAGAGTTTTACCATGTTTACTTACATTTTCTCAAGTCCTACATTAGGCACTAATGTAATAGGTATTCATCTAATTTTCAACAATTATTAGCTGATTGTCTCTTAGTTGTTAAATTAAGAGATGTCAAATTTAAAATTTTTAGAACTGAATTCACATTATTATAGATCAAGTAAATGCATTCAGTTCAGGTTAATCCATAGGACAGATATCAAGTCGAATGATAAGTTTCTTTTATTGTCTAAAACAATTTAAATCTAAGTAAAAATTAAAATTAAAATAAAAAATAAAAAATGAAAAGGGAGAGTAAAATTTATTCTATTCTCAATTAGCCTTGACCAGCTCCTCCCTTCCCTTGTTGCTGTGAAGTTATTAATCAGCAATAAAATAATAAAATAAATACATAAAATAAATAAAACTAATCCATGGATAATAAAGATAATAAGAGAGAGGAGAGAAGAATGACTTAATTCGTGGAGAAATGAACAAAGTATTTTGGAGAGATATGCAAAATCTGATGTGAAAATAATAATATTATGGATCATAAGCATGTCTAAGATCAATTCAACCAAAGAAATCATTCAAAAATGGAAACTAAAATGAATTAACAATCAAATGCGCCCTTAGATACTGAGGATGAAGCAGAAGAATGAATTCTAAATCTGAAATAAATGAAAAAAAAATGCATGATGTATTTTTTAAATGAAATTAAAGTTAATACAAACTCAAAAACAACAAGAAATCGGACAACAATTGGATATCAAATCAGGATTTTCTCCCTTTGACACTAGAGACAAGTGGAGAAATGAGTTTGGGTAAATTCTTGAATAAAACCTTAGAAATTGGTTGTTTCTTTGATTCACTCACTTGTTATCTGAATGAGTTGAATAAATGAAGTCAGAACAATGTAAAGATCAACTTTTTATCAAAAATAACATGAGAAATCGATGAAAAATTATAAGAACACCAACATCTATCACCCATCAAAAAGAGTTAAGAAAATAGACTCCTTGTTGCCTAAATTGGACAAAAATTTTACTCCCACTAGATCTAGAATCCATTACATGCAGCAAGGAATCAACTTACTAAAAAATCATTTTAATTTCAGTGAGAATCGGCTTCTGTTTTTCTGGCCCTTTTTTTTTCTGTTTCTGGGCGTTTTTGGGTATTTTCACCCATTTCCACTCATTTTCCTAATCATTTTAATTTAACTAAATAAACCAAAAAATGGGCCTTAATAGGTTTTTTTAACAGGCCTATAATGATCCTACAAATTAACATATTTCGAAAATATTATGAAAAATCACCTTTTTTTATATAAAAAAAAGTTGTATCTAAAAAATGAGTTCCAAGTACTAAATTTCGATTTTGACCCTAATAATGACAGATTTATGAATAAAAATTTCAATTAAAGTTTATTACAAATAATCAAAGAATATTCAAAATATAAACATGAACTAATGCACCAAATATACTAATTGTGTTACTTATCACATAGAAATGACGTGTTATCATTCGCCATTGGAAATAACTATTAGATCCCTAATATGTCGCTCTCAAAATAAGATGATTCACCTCATACTCATGGGAAACAAGAGGAAGAAACACCTTTGCTCAACACATTCAAAAGAAGAAATCATTCACAATATTTATAACTTTCCAAGCAAGTATCCCAGCTTGCTGATCTTCTAAAGAACCATGCATCATACATCAAGGTAGTCCCTAGAAATCACTTTAGTGGTGACATTGTGTATTTTGATTAGTTATCCTTTTATCTTTGAACCTCACAATTTTTTGCTGTTATGTCTTGAATATCATAGAGCATTAACACTCATGTTTAAGATTACATTGAAATAACTAATGGGTTGTAGCTAAGAATCTAATTGTGGCAAGGACCTAAGACATTGTCTTCTTAGATAAATCTAGAAACTTGGTAGAGTGGCGACACCATGAAAAGTTGTTTGATGCATCAAAGGAAATAAGTCAATAGATGAGTGATTGTCTTAAAGAAATTTGGTTATGGGTACATGTGAATTATAAGGCAACACAACTGAGATTGAAAATGAAATAACTAAAAACTAAAGATAAAAAATAAATGTTTTCTCTTATTGCCAAGTTGTCACGATCGTGCTCCCATGTTCTTATTGATTCACAGATCACCTCTAATTTGTGATAATTCAAGGGATCCTAAAGAATAACCTCAACAAACCATATAAACAAAGGAAGAGGTAGGAAAATCATCAAACAAATTCTCCTCCCACGATAAAATGATCAAGTAGATGATTTATCAGTAAACAAAATCAAAAAATGGTAGATTAAATATTATAAAGGAAATGATTATTGATTCTATCATGTGTGTCACCTCACATGATAAAATCAATGAACAATTTGAAATGAAACAAAGAAATTAAAAATTTTCAACAAAATAGGAGACAAGTCGTCACCTCTTGAGATCATACTGGATGTGATGAAAAGCCTTCTCTTATTGCACGAACCTAAGGATGAAGCTCCCTAAGATGCACCCCACCTCCATCTAGCTCATCTCTATTAGGTGACAACTGTCGGAGAAACACACAAAGTCACTATTTTTCTACTCTACCGAGTGACAGTCGTCAGAGATGATTTGACAACCCACTTCATTAATCTCTAGACTTTACAAGAAGATCTAGAGATTACCATGTCATCCTTGTCCAAGAAAAGCCTTCAAGGTTGTGGACACTACACAACAATTCTCCCAAACGTTCAAGATTTCAACGTATTACCATCGTGAAGTCGGAACTATATTTTACTATTTTTAATTAATTTAACTTCCATCATCATTTTTTGAACTTCGAAAGGAGATCTAATAAATGCCCATGTTGTCCATGTCCAAGGAAAGTCTTTGAGGTTGTGGACATCATTTGATGACCCTCCCGAACACACAGAATTCTGGTGATCGCTATCGTGAGGCCAGAACTCTATCTTTCCTACTTTCAACTTAATTTTTATTTCATTTAGTGATAACTTATGTGATTTAAATCTTCCAAACTATTCTTCATTCAATTACAATTCTTCTTATTTTTACATATCTTAATTTGACTAATTAAATCATCTCTAATCGTGTATGTAAGAATCATTGGACAAAACTCTATATTCACATAATTCACGTTCATTAGGCACTGACATCATTTTAACATCCGCACCCCTCATTTTTCTTTTTCATAAATTATAAATATATTTTATTTTTATTTCTTAGTTGAAAATTTATAAAAAATATATATTTTGCAGAAAATTCTGAAATATTACCAAATATTATATTATATCCTTATGATTGACCTGAAAAATTATCACTATTTTTGAATTTTTTATTAAATTATAATTGATATATTTATTTAAAAATACTTCTAAATATTTGAAACTAGTATTTTCTCATTTTATATGATGGTGAGTGGGACCCATTTCCATTAGCTCAAGAGACACCGGCAGTCTGAGTTCAGCCCGATTGAAGCGTGAAAACAAAGGAGCCTGGCTTTCGCTACACGGCCTAGCCCTTCGGGATGACGACATTCCACCTCCGCGACGACGACGAGCTCGAGCTCACCCTTATCTTTCTTTGTATTTTTCATATTGACTTGTTGGACCTCACGTTTGTGTGTTAGCGGGCCCAATTCTATGTGTGTGTTGTTGTTTGTGTCTCCCTTTCTTTAGGGTTTTATTGGGTCTCTCTTTTGAGGCCCAATTAAAACCCTAAGGGAGGGGACCTAGGCTTCTTTCCTTTTTGGGCTTCTTTTGGGGCTTATTTGGGTCTTCATTTGAGGCCCACTTAAGCACCGTACGAGGGCCCTCCTCTTTCTCCTTTTAGGGGAGCTTATTGGGTCTCTCTTTTAGAGGCCCAATAAGCCCCTTTTGTAGCCTTTTTGTGGCTTATGGGCTAGAGGGCCTCAAGTGGGCCCACCTCCCCTTAGCCCACTTGTGGGCCCAATATAAGGGGAGGTAGGGCCCCTCCTCAAGGAAGCGCCGAATTTTGTGAGAAATTATCGTTCGTGAGTTATCTTCCTCGTGACCTAGGATAGGGAGGGAAGGAGGGAGAGGAAGGCCGTCGATACCCCTTTGAGGACTTCGTTCCTCGTGACGCTGCTGCCTGAGAAGTCCAGCCGCCGCCTGAGACCACGGCCGCCGCCGAACATCTCCCTTGCCGCCCGTGAGATCGCCGCCGTCACCGGACGAAACGG